GGGGTGGAGGTGGTGGAGGTGGGGAGTGGATGTGGGTAGCAGTAATCAACCGTTGCTGGGTGGAGGGAAAAAAGGAAGCTTCTGCAGGCGGTTGGCTTCCTGCGGGTCCTACGGGCCTCTCGACCTCTTACTCACTTAGACACAGGAACCAGAAACCTAAGGTGTCTGTGGAGGCTTGTACCACCTTCTCTCACCCTCTGCCGGGTCTGAACAGGGGTCCCAAAGGAGAAAGAAGAGGAATTGCTTGGGATGCATGGGATGCACACACCCGCGAAAGCACGTGGCTTATACACACGCCTTAGAACAGGGGCCTCACTCATATTTCACAAACAATCCTGAGTCACATTTTGCTCCCTCTTGCCTCTGTACCCTCAAGAAGCACATCCACAGGGCATGATAACAGCTGCCTAATTCTGAGACCTACTGTGTGTGGGCTATGACACCAAATGCTTTGTATGCACGGTTTCCTTTCTGATGCTCATGGCAGTCTTGAAAGGTCCTTGTAAATCCTTACTTCAGAGTTGAGAAAACTGAGGGTCAGTGACCGGCCCAAGGCTACACATCCGGATAAGCCAGGATGCAAGACCAAGTCAGTGGGACTCCCAGGCTTCCTGCACTTTCCTGCACTTGTATCATACGCCAGCCCACATTTCCATTTTAATCTGTACACAGTCTGACATCGAGCGCACTTACGCACAGCCTATAAACTGTTAATCACACCCCCGCAGCCACACACCTACCAGCTTTGTACAACAGTGCCACCCATAGAGTATGCCTAGACCCTTACGGCTTTCAAGTACAAACATGCACTATAGCTGGTTCACACACACTGTCTTCATTGACTGAGCTGTTCCCACACCTACCTCAGCACACACACTCTCATAGGCACATGCTTATAGAAAGCAGGTTAGAGTTGCAAACTGCTGTGAAGAGGGTGACTCACCACAGCTTCAGGGGTTTGAGAAGAGGCCTCTTTTACCCTAACCCAGCTTTTCACACCACAAGGATCCTCCTTTGCCTTTGTCCTTCCTGCCCCAGGTGGAAGAACCACATGCACATTGAGAAACAGGATTGTAAATTAGACCTTGGGCACTGGCTTCCCTCTGCCCATTAACACCCTTCCCAATTTCCTATCGTTTGTGTCCTTTCCGTTCTCTCCTAACTTTCCTATCCTACTATTTCTCCACAACTCATCCACATCCTATTTCTGGGCCAGGGAAAGTTAAACAGACAAAAGTGAAAGAACCTTTTTTTTATTCCCTAAAGCAAGATAGGTTTATCTGAGTGGTTAAACAGTTCTTGTAAAAAAAACACAACCCAGTTCTTTTAAAAAAATAATTTCTTGCTTTTAAATTATAGTTGACATACAATATTATTTAGTTTCAGTTATACAACCCACTGATTAGACATTTATATAACTTACAAAGTGATAACCCCAATAAATCTGGTACTCATCTGACACCATACACAGTTATTACAATATTATTGACTATATTCCCTATGCTGTATTTTACTTTATTCCCTTTGCTATACCATGGCTATTCTGCAACTGCCAATTTGTACTTCTTTTTTTTTAAGTTTAAAATAAGTTTTGCCCGGCCAGCAGTTGAGAGAGAGAGGAAGGGAGAGGGAGAGAGAGGGAAACATCAATGTGAGAGAGAAACATTGATTGGTTTCCTCCAGTATGCACCCCGACAAAGGATTGAACCCGAAACCTCGGTATGTGCCCTGCCTGGGAATCGAACCTGGAAACTTTTGGCCCACAGGATGACACTCAGCCAACTGATCCACACCGGCCAGGGCCAAATTGTACTTCTTAATCCCTTCACCTTTTTTACCAGTCCCCCCAAACCCCCTCCTATCTGGTAACTGGCAAAATGTTCTCTATATCTATGAGCTTGTTTCTGGCTTGCCTGTTTGTTTATTTTGTTTTTTAGATTCCACATATAAGTGAAATCATATGGGATTTGTCTTTCTCTATCTGACTTATTTTACTCAGCACAATGCCCTCTAGATCCATCCATGTTGTTACAGGTGACAAGATTTCATTCTTTTTTTATGGCTGAGTCATATTCTGTTGTATATATGTACCTCTTCTTTACTCCCTCATCTATTGATGGACAAAGGTTGCTTCCATATCTTGACTATTGTAAATAATGCTACAGTAAACATATGGATGTATATGTCTTTTTGATTTAGTGTTTTGGGTTTCTTCAGATAAACACCCAGAAGTGAAATTGCTGGGTCCTTGTTTGTCTTTTGTTACAGACTTGGTTTTTCGAATCTTTTTTTGTTTGGTATAAGTATCACTACCCCAACTCTTGTTTTGCTTTATTTTCATTTTCATGAAATATTTTTTCCATCCCTTTACTTTCTTTCTTTCTTTTTTTTTTTTTAAATATATCTTTATTGATTTCAGAGAGAGGAAAGGAGAGGGAGAGAGAGAGACAGAAACATCAATGATGAGAGAGTCATTGATCGAGCCCGCAACCCTGGCATGTGCCCTGACCGGGAATCAAACCCTGATAGCCTGGATCCCAGGTTGACGCTCAACCGCTGAGCCACACCGGCTGGGCTCCATACCTTTACTTTCAGTCTTTGTGTGTCTTTCTTTCTGAAGTGAGTCTCCCATAGACAGCATGTGCAAGGGTCATGTTTTGCTATCCATTCAGCCACCATATGTCTTTTGATTGGAGCATTTAATCTATTTGTATTTAAAGTAATTGTTGATAGGCCTGTATTTATTGTCATTTTATTATTCATACTTTTTTAATCCTTGGTTTCTTTCTCCTTAAAGGAGAACCTTTAACATTTCTTGTAATACTGGTTTGGTGGTGATGAACTCTTTTAGCTTTTTCTTGTCTGGGAAATTTTTTATCTGTTCTTGGATTCTAAATGATAGCCTTGCTAAGTAGAATAATCTTGGTTGTAGGTCCTTGCTTTCCATCACTTTGAATATTTCATACCATTGCCTTTTGGCCTGCAAAGTTTCTGTTGAGAAATCAGCTGACAGTCTTATGGGAGCTCCCTTGTAGACTACTAACTGCTTTTTTCTTGCTGCTTTTAAGATTCCCTTTTCTTTAATCTTTAGCATTTTAATTATGATGTGTCTTGGTGTGGGCCTCATTGGATTCATCTTGTTTGGGACCCTCTGCACTTCCTGGACATGTATGTCTATTTCCTTCACCAGCCTAGAGAAGCTTTCCTTTATTATTTTTAAAATAGGCTTTCAATTCCTTGCTTTCTCTCTTCTTCTTCCAGCACCCCCATGATGCAAATGTTGGTTCACTTGAAGTTGTCCCAGAGGCTCCTTAAACTATCCTCATTTAAAAAAATTTTTTTTTTCTTTTTGTTGTTCTGATTGGGTGTTTTCTGCTTCCTTATTTTCCAAATCACTGATTTGATTCTCTACTTTATCTATCTATGTTGATTACCTATCATATATTCTTCATTTCAGTTATTATATTCTTCATTTCTAACTGGTTCTTTTTTATGTTTTCTATCTTCACTTTTATGTTTCCTTTCTTTTTATCTTTTTGTTGGAAGTTCTCACTGAGATCAGCTACTCTTCCCCTAGGTTCATTGAGCATTCTTATAACCAGTGTTTTGAATTCAGCATCTGGTAGACTGCTTGTCTCCATTTTGTTTAGTTCCCTCCCCCTCCCCAAAGCTTTGTTTTGTTCTTTTACTTGGGACATGTTTCTTTGTTTCCTTATTTTGGTAGCTTCCCTGTGTTTGTTCCTATGTATTAGGTAGAGCTGCTGTGTCTCCTGGTCTTGGTAGAGTGGCCTTCTGTAGCAGGTGCCCTAGAGTGCCCAGTTGCACAGCCTCCCTCGTCACCCAAGCTGGGCACTCCAGGAGTCCCCTCCTCCCTGTGTGGGCTGTGTGCACCCTCCTGTTGTAGTTGAGCCTTGATTGCTGTTGGCATGTCAATGTGAGGCATTTACCCTCAGGCCAGTTGTCTGTGAGGACTGACTACAACCACAGCAGAGCATCTTCTGTGCAGGGCTGACCCTACAGAGCAGGACTTGCTGCAGAGGCCTCTGGTGCCTGATAAGTTCACCCCTTGAGTGTGTCGCTCCTGGAGGTGCTTGCATGGTGCCCTGGTGTGTGGTCTGAAGCTATCCACGGGGTATGCTGGCTCTGGGGTCTCCTAGGAGGTACAAGCCAAGGTCAGCCAC